GGGGGGGGGGATGATTTAAATAATTGGAGGGGGCAAGGGGGAGGCGAACCTAATTTTTTTGGCAAATGAAAGGGTACTTTAAAAATTTGTCAAGCATACATGGTGGGTCCTCAATTTGAATTTGAAAATTTTCACGAGTTGGGGGCTTTGAAAATTAAGTTAAATCCTAAATGGGGGCCTGTTAACAAAATAAGGTCCTTGAGGAGAACCCTTCACCCTCTCTCCCCCCCTCCCCCTCTGCAAATTAAATGAACTTTCCCTTAGAGCTTGAAAACTCAAGAGACTATTCCTGAAACAAGGGCAATCAATGTTATTATAACAAAGTTGAATGGTAGAATCCAAGCACTTGAGCTACTTGGAAGAGCAATAGCAGAGATTACTTTATCTAGGATCACTGCACATCCTTTCTTCTCTCCCACACCAATGACCATGAACATTTTTGATGGCTTGAACCCTCCTTCATATCGGAGTCTTTTCTCTTCATTGATATCAGCTGCGCTACTGACAGCCACATTGACATATCTCAGGCCTTGTCCATAAAAGATTGAAATCCAATACCGGGAGTTAGGATCAGGTACTCTACCAGAACTTTTCATAATCTTTCCTTCAGGAGTAATAACTTGGAATTCTCCAGTGTTTTGAAGGATCACTTTTAGTCCTTCTTTGTCTGGAAGGTCAGCATTTGCACCAGAGAGTCCACTACTTCCAACAATGACCGTCACATTTTGAGTTGCATTCTGACCATCCAATGAAATGAATGAAACTCCAATCGTGATATGTTGACTTTCCAGATTTTTTGCTTGCAATTCTTCTACTGAAGAAACCCATCCACCTTTACCAGTAAACATTACTTTTGTCTCACCAACGAGGACATCAGTACAAGAAGCAGTGGAATATCCTTTGAGTTTCACAAGATTGTTATGGTAAGGATTGTTTGGATCTTCTTGTGGCCCTCGTAAGTGATGTTTTAAGTCTTCTGCTTGTTTTTCTGGAAGATCGTAGTACACATTTTTCTTGTCATAAACTTTAAATCGTAGTTCAAGGAGGTCTCGTGTATCGTAATCATCACTTTCACTTGACCAAACAGTTAGAGTCAAATTCCTGGAAAGGTCCAAAAGCCAAAGAAGCTGAGGTAAGGATCTTTTGATCAGAGCAGCACGCACTGGAAAAGTGACAGGTTGAGAGATGCTACTGACATGTTGTCCCATCTCGATAACATTACCCCATGTGTATTTGTTTTTAGCATCTTTTACTTCATTTCCAGTGGTCCAACCAAGGGAAAGAACTGCGTTTGGAAAGTACTGTTGGCAAAGTTCTATGAATGTTTTTGGATTGATGGGAAGAGAAACCTTATCAAAACATGGACCATCCAATATATCAGCATTAAGCCACACAGGATTCCTTATTGCATTTGAATCTGATATGTTTTTCAGGAGTTTAAGTGATGGTTCAACAGCTATAAGACTTTTGAAGTCTAACTTCATACCCTTATTAGAGGCTGTTACTTTCTCTAAGAATTGAGCAAGAGTAAGGTTGCTGTCGGTGTCTGGTGGATGAGCCATAATTGGCGTAGTGTCAGATCTATTATGACGCATCAGTACATCTGCTTCGACCATGTTCAAGCTGCTGGCTAATGCTTCATTAACTTTAGACATGCTGTTAGCCGCATGCATCCAGGTGATGTTATAAGCATCATAAAGATTGAAATATTCTAGGGTTGGATCCACTGCTTTGGACAAAGGCAAACACATCTTATAACTCTGGCTTAAAGTCACTATAAAAAAAAGAAGAAAAAAAATGGAATAATAAGAGTTAATGCATGACTGAGGACAATTTAATAGGACAATATTGGTTACATTTTTTATTACATATTTTCTACAGTTTTTTGATTAGATATTTTCGAAATTTAATAGGAATGGAATTTAAGCAAACAGAGATGATTTGAACAGGCATCAGCGAGCCATAATATATAATGAATAAATATCTATATTATTATTAACTCTATTAACCACGATATTAATGAATAAATCATACACGTACGGTGAAACAAACGAAGCTAGGATACGAGACAAGTTTCAGCAAAACAACTCACTCTCAGGGACGGTGGAACCGGGGGGGCTGGGGGGCTTTAGCTTCTCCACTTTTTGTGAAATTTTAATGCATTTTCACTAAACTCAGCCCGGCCCCCCACGTGCCCCCCACCTTGCCATACAATGTCACTATTGAGCCCCCCCAATCAAAAAACTGCTCTGCCGTCCCTGTCTCTGTAAACATTCTTGACAAGAAAGTTACAAACAGAGTTGTTTTGAACAGGCATTAGCGAGCCATGATATATAATGAATAAATATCTATATTATTATTAACTCTATTAACTATGATATTCATAAATAAATTATACACGTATGGTGAAACAAATGAAGCGAGGATACGAGACAAGTTTCAGCAAAACGACTCACTCTGTAAACATTCTTGACAAGAAAGTTACGCAGTAAAGTAATACTACATATTGTCTTTTCAGCTAAATGTTTCAACGTGTAACGCCAGCAGTTAGTTTAAAGCGGGTTAAAGTTACTCGAACGAGTTATTCAGTCGGGTTAAACCGAACTCTTTGCCGCCGCTACTATACAAACGAATCAGTTATTCGAAATAATTACAACCTACGTCACTAATAATTTGCTTCAAGTATTTCTAATAACATACTTACCGACAGCAGAAAATACAAGAAGAGATCGTAAAGAATCCATTTTATTGTGCGTGCGTGTCCCTGATGTACGTACGTGACAAGGGCGAGTTCTGCAAATATTCTGGAGGGTATATACTCCATGGCTAAAAACAATGGAGTATATACCTCTACCATCTTTTACCATCCCTTGCCATCCTTTACCTTCCCTAGCCATCTTTTACCATCCCTAGCCCTCCCTTACAATCCCTAGCCATCCCTTACCATCCCCAGCCATCCTTTACCATCCCTAGCTATCCCTAGTCTTCCTTTACCATCCTTTACCATGCCTAGCAATCCTTTACCATACATAGCTATCCTTTACCATACATAGCCATCCCTTACCATCCCTAGCTATCCCTTACCATCCGTAGCTATCCCTAGTCTTCCTTTACCATCCCTAGCCATCCTTTACCTTTTCCAGTCATCCTTCACTATCACCAGCAAACTCACCCTTCGTAATTTTTAATGATGTATTAAATAGTAAATGTTTACCTCTCACATTGGTTATAGCCTGTGTAGTGGCTACATTGGTTACCACTCAAATTTTAAAAATCTTTCTTAGCCAATCTCTGTACCAAAGACTGTCAAATCTCAAAAACTATTTGATTATATATCATTTTTGATATCTAAAATTTTATATTTTGCCAACTAGAAAAGAAATAATCTTGTTTTTTTTTTGGATCTTGTTTTTTTTAGGATTTTTAACTTTAGACCAAAACACATAATAATAGACATTATTTTCAATGCTTTTGTTAACAATAACACCACTCTAATATTTATTTTCATTTAATCCAAAGTTCTGTCATTGAAGAAGACTGACAAACAATGGGTATGGTTACAATATTTACTCCTTTGAAGAGATAAGTGGTTGCTACACTTTCTATCCGCTTTCTAAAAACTAAATCAGTTATCATATAGCTATTGAAAAATGAGTGTTTCCGTATTGGGTTTAAAACTCATAAGTGATTCTTGAAAGTCTAGTTCTCAAAGCCCCACCAGTTCAACACTAACATCCCATAACGTCTTCGCATCTTCCTCATTCTTGGAAGCCTCTGAACTTGGAGTCTCAGCGCAATCAGCATAATATCTTCCAGTTACTCCTTCAAGATCTTCAGAAACTGCACAATACAATGAGGTCTGCGCACCCTGGATTGGGGTCTTGCAAGTCAACCATCTTATAGGCCTAAAGGGAGCCCCTAGAATTGAGGACGAGAAGAAAGTGTGTCTGTCCAGCTCTGTTTCCACTGTCCCAGGATGTACAGCATACGTAGTTACTCCTGTTCCCTCCAGACGTCTTGCAAGCTCCTTTGTAAACAGGATGTTGGCGAGTTTACTTTGAGCATACGCCTCTACCTTGCCGTAAGTCTTTTCGTTGTTCATGTTTTGAAACTTGAACCTTGAGGTCATCGTATGGCCCAAAGATGACAAATTAATGACACGGCTTGGAGCTGATTTCTTTAGAAGATCCAGCAGCAAATTAGTAAGTAAGAAGTGGCCCAGATGATTGACTCCGATTTGCAGCTCAAAGCCATCTTCAGTCGTCATATAGGGACACATCATCACACCAGCATTGTTGATCAAGATGTCCAGTCTAGGTTCATTTTTCTTGATCTTCTCGGCAAACTCTCGCACAGATTTCAAAGATGCAAGGTCTAGTTTCTCCAAGTAGACCTGCTGGCTGTTACTCTGTTCTTGGATTTCCTTCAATGCTTGTTTTCCCCTGTCTGGGCTTCTGCACGCGATGATCACTCGAGCTCCTCGTTTGGCCAAATCGATGGCTGTTTCCTTTCCGATACCAGTGTTTGCTCCAGTGATAATAACTGTTTTACCATCAAGTCTTCTTGTGCTCTTGAATTCACCTCCCTTGAAATATTGCCTTGCAAAATAAAGGCCTAAAGCACCGCCAACACCCACAGCAACTGCAACAGGGATGGACGCCATGGTTCATTCATGGTTCACAATTGACACAATTACCCACTAAAAAAAGAGTTGAGGACTGGGAATGAGTTTCATAAATTAGTAAATTTCTGGAGTTTCCACAGGCAGCCCAAACAAGGTTCCTGTGTATGGTTTATAAGGGAATGTATGGGAGTTATGATAAAGTTACGAAAATAAAATGTTTCACTCAACAATTTGCCTCAAAACTTGCTGCAGTCGTTGCTTTTACTTTGTTTAGTCTTCTGGCGACGTTTCAGCGCGATTTGAGGCCGTTTAGTGGGTTTTTTTCAAAATCCGCTCTTCTCTACCTAAATGATGGGCCAATTATTTAGGTAGAGAAGAGCGGATTTTGAAAAAAACCCACTAAACGGCCTCAAATCGCGCTGAAACGTCGCCAGAAGACTAAACAAAGTAAAAGCAACGACTGCAGCAAGTTTTGAGGCAAATTGTTGAGTGAAACATTTTATTACGGGTTACAATTGTCCCTAGTAAACATACATTCATTTCTTTGTAATTTTTGATGTTTTTGATTGCTTATAATTTAGCTGTTACTCAGCCAATCGAAGCCAAACTGCAGAAACCTGTTAATTTTGATGTGCTCTTTATCGTTATGGAAATATCTTGAAAATAAGATTTCACTCGTCCTTCTCTCGTTTCTAAAGTGGCCAATATGTTTTATCACTCCCCCTCTGTCTAAATACAGTGCGCATGTCACAGATCGTCGACGTATAAAAGCTGACAGTAAATAATGAAGGCTCATGATATAGGAAACCGATAATTGGTCCCTTTTTCCGCACATATCATGGGAAAGAACATGATATGGACCACTTTTATACCTCAAAAATGAGGGCTCTCAAAGCTCTCACCCAAAGAGAAAAACGTTTGCGCGTGCGTGTCTTTCAGTACGTTTTCTAATAATTTAGAAGAGTTTTAGAGAGAAAATAATTGTTCGTTTTCTCCGAGCATACGAAAAATAGTTAGGAGTGTACTTGTGTGAGACTAAAACACTGCATAAGTTTTGGCATTCTGTCATATATGGTACCTGTAGCATCGCTAGTGATGACGTAATATTACCATATATGGTATCTGTACCATCGCCAGGGATGACGTAATACTTACCATATATGGTACCTGTAGCATCGCTAGTGATGACGTAATATTACCATATATAGTACCTGTACCATCGCCAGTGATGACGTAATACTTACCATATATGGTACCTGTTGTATATTTAATAAAACATAAATCACACTGTATTACTTTGTAATTTACCATCCTATCATTTACCAGTCACCACCCAAGACAGCGAACAGCAGAATTAACAATTTGAAGGTAAAAAATCGGGAAAAAAATACAAATTTATACAGAAATCAAGCATCAAGGATTTTTCTTGTCTTTGTTTTTCCTTCCCACTTAGTGCCGGTGTAATTGTGATGGCAAGATTATTCTTGATTATTTGATGATCCACCTTTATTTCTTAAATTCATTTCCTTATGACCAGAATGCAATATAACAATCATTTCGAGAACGATAATTATGATAATGATAAATTATTGTCTTTTATTTCATTTATTTTCTCACATTTTTCGATCAAATTTGAGCTTTCTGCGCTATTACCCTGCTGCAAATTTTAACGAATTGCCGCACCGCGTCTTTTACTGAATTTGTTCTCTTTATAACAGAAAAATTTACGCTGATGGTAATAATTAAGAATAAAATAACTAAATCTAGTTACAATCTTTTCTATCTTGTTTTAGAAATGTCGTCCCAAGAATCTGTCATCGCTCTACACAAAGAAATCCTGCGTTTGAAACAAGAAAAGACTATACAGAGAAAGAAGATATCGGAGACTTCTGCCGACTTAGTGTACTACTGCAAACGCCACGCAAAAGAGGATTACTTTTTGAACGAAAACCATTCGAATAATCCATATAAAGAGAGCAAACAGTGTTCTGTTATGTAGCCTGGAACTAAGGCAACAAACGCTCATCTGCGAGAGTCACTTTAACTTAAGTTTCAGAGGTGGATGAAGGAATTTGAATAATTTCTTTGAAAGTCTACTATATCAGTAAAAATCTTAGTAAATTATAAAGTCTATCTAAGTAAATCAAAGGAAGACTAAATGTTTGTCAGAAACTTGTTTTTTTAGTAAGGAATAAGCCATTTCATAGTTTAAGAATTGTTTTCAGTGCGCATGCGATTTTATCCCGAATTTCTCACCTTTTGTTTAATTAACGACAAAAGGTTTAATCGCATGCGCACTGAAGACGGTTCTTAAACTATGAACTGGCTTATTACTAAGGTTCTTTCTATTGTAACTTGGTGGCTAGTCATACCTTTTTAAAGCTCAAAATCAACTATCTTCTAGCTGTGCACTGGTAATTTTGTTATTGCAAAGTTGTGTCAATGTTGAGTCCAATAAACGATATTTCGTCGAGGAAAGTGTATCAAATTGATACCTTTTAAGTGTAAAAGCCATTAAAGTGGTCCAGGGAGAAATACATGGACAAGCTGCTTCATAAAACCCATTCAAGTGCAAATACCTGGTCGTGAGCTGTTTGATAAAACCCACCAAAGTGTTCAGGATGTATCATTTATCCTATGGTTTGAATAGATCCAAGGAACCACAAATAAGAGGTTGCGCTGTATGATAAAATCAAAACAGTGGATTCCTGAGCTTGATCAAATTAAGCTGATCCTCGCACAATATCAAGCAACTTTTACAGCTGCAAATTAAAAGACTCAGACAAAATTTTGAATCTTGAACGGGATTGATAAAATAGTTTTTTTTTTTTATACCAACCCAAATCCAACACTCATTTCAGTAACAAAAACTGAAAAGGCTGATCACAGAACATCTTATTCAAGTTGTTTTATTGTACGTCCTAGTTTGATAGTCCCGACATCAGCTGTCAGTGTGGTTGTCAGAGCTAATCTGTAACGGTGGATCCAGGAATTGGTTAGGGAGTGTCCCAAATGAAGCGATGTATATAGAGGATATCTAAAAACGGATGCGAGGGAGACTAGATATTGCACGGTGGCGCGAAGATATGAAGTTTATTTTCGAGTGGTGAAGAATATTTTTCAACATGAGAAGATAAACCTCACATCTTCAAGCTTCGTTACAACTACAGCCGCAATACCGTGACTTCAAATAAAAAAAAGAAATTGTATCAAAGCTAGACCAGAATACACCTTTTTTATCGGATGCGGCTGAGTAGCACTGAGAGCCGATACGTAATCCTATGGGATTGCGACGTAAACGCCGAGTCTTAGGACTGCATTAGCCCTTACATACAGACGTCACATAAACACAAGTATATTCACTGAGGTGGATTGGAATCATTTTTAAGGGTGTAAAAGAACACCGAGGGTGCTTACCATTTCTTTATCAGTTCACATTTGGCGAAATTTTATCCAGAACATTTCTTCAAATATTGAATGAAATGTTAAAACTACAATAAAACGCACGGCGGTGACAGCGGTCAGTGATATCTTAACTTCCGGAAATTGTACACGCGTCTCCCAACTAAAAAAAAAAAAGCGGGAAAAGTTCGACTTCCGGTATGGGTACACGCGCTTACCGGGAAGATTGAATAAGGACGAGTTTTTCAAAATTTTAATAATTTAAAAACAAAATTTCTTGTTTCTGCGTAAATGGTAAGCACCCAGGAATTTCTTCCTGGAAAATGTAACAAAAGCTGAAAATAATGCAGAGCAAATATTGTCAAACATGACTGCCATAAAGCGTATTGGTGCGGTGTGAAGTGACATACACCCACCCATACGCTTAGTATGAACAGACGTCCAGTACGGGACCGTGCTATCAAAGGTATATTATACACGTCCCGTGTAAGAAATGCCTTATATACAGAAAGGGCTTGAATTAAGCACTACCACCTAGCAAAATCCGAGTGATTTTCTTGACTTTGCCAGTTGAAAAAATCTACTCGCAAACATTTGCAAGTAAAACTTTTCCCGGATCTGACCAATAATCTCCTTCGCAGTTCCCTGTCATCTTGAAAAGTAGCCGTGCCTTCGCATCGAAGCAAGACGAACGGTGAGCTTGCAACGATAGAGACCTTTTTTAACACCTTGGACAATAAGCAAAGGCACGACTACCTTTCAAGATGGCGCAGGGAATCGTGAAAGGACTATTTTTCACTAAGAAACAGAAATTCAAATGTTTGCTATTGGACAAACAGGGTAAGCTTGAGCCTGACATAGACATAAACCAAGAGAAAATGAACTAAGAGAAGGAATCCCCGTGCCCCATCATGTGCACACTTTGATGCTATTTTTAGAATCATTGATGCTATTTTTAACTCGTTACCATACCCGCTCGATAATCATGCTCCCCTTTAATGAATCGTTTTAGGAGACGAAAAGTAACATATTTCGCTACGTCCAAGACAAAAACACAGGCTTTTGTTTACTGCAAGACTGGAAGACGCCTACCCTCAAGAAATCAACCAATCAGGTTCTTCGCTCAAAATATCTTCAAACTAAAAATAGCATCAAACTGTGCACATGATGGTTACAAGGCTATATAGGTTCCTTCTCTTAGTTCATATTCTCTTGTATAAACTATATATATCTCGTGTAGCACTGAGATAATAGATTTCTGTTTCTGTGTGAGGCTATCCTATCGTTCATGCCATAAACGTTTCAATCCCTTGCCGTTGAGATATAACACACAAATATCACTCGTCGTCGTCACTAGAATTGTCTTTACTCCTAGCTGGTTCACGAGAATTGGAACAGGAATCGTTGCTGCTTTCATCAGGAGAGGGTGCGACTCTATCATCACGTGACGAACCATCAGCCTCAGTCTCTTCCTTCTTCTCACTCTCTGTGTCGTTGTCGGTATTAACGTGGTCTTCAGTAGATTTAGAATTCTCTTTCTGCATCTCCTTTTCTCGACGTAGCGCTTGTATTCGTCGGTCGATGGCTGTGTACAGTTGCTGAATGTCTTTTGGTCCAGCCTGGGATAATATTAATAGATATTACTTTCTTTTCCATATTTTATAAAGGTTATTGCAGCGAAAAGAATAGTCAATACATGCATCGAGAGATCCGCGGTACTGCTATAAGCGCATGCTCGAGGTGTCAAAAAGTGGGATGGATTTGGAATTAGCGCTACTTGCTCTTAAATATCTGATTAAAATTGTGCATGTTAAGAAAAATACAATTAAGATATAGCAATTTCAGAATTCCCAATTTCCAATCTCCTCCGTGGGTGGGGTATGGATATTTTCTGGAACTACACAATTTAAAAAATTGTCAAATCATATACCATCATGGCACATCTGTAGGGAAGTCTTTCAAAGGGATAAAACTTGAATATACATCTGTGGATGGACTATAGTGATACTTTACTCACCATTATAAGATAAATTTTGACATCATTCTCTGCCTCCATGACTGTAATGCGTAGACTTTTGTCATTAGCACGGTCTAATGTCATCTCAGGCCACAGTTTGCTATTGAGCATTACTCGTAGATGGCCTTGGGTCCTCATCACTTAAACATCATTGATAAACACCAAAATATTGGTCACATATCCATTACAAAGCTACAGACATCAGGGCTTAAAAAAATTGGTTCGTAAGAAAGACGCCGGTCATGATGGCTGGCCAAATTAGCTTTAGTTGAGTCACACCAAGTTTATGGCTTAACGTTATTGATCAAAATGACCGGCAAGTCAAAGATTTGACCGGACAAGTTCCAGCTCGTGGACATTGTCCGATGTCTGGTTGTTATTTTAAGACCTGGACATTAAGAGTGCAGTGTTTCTTTGGTCACAATCCAGTAGAAATTTTAAATATTAAGGCTTGTAATTATGCATGAAAACTGAAGGAGAAAAGGATTGTAATGGTTCGTACAAAACATGACCTCAACGACAACAAAACTTCATCTAACTACGAAAACTCACCAAGACGAGACTGAAATGTACTCTCAGATGTTGATTGGCGCATGTCATTTAGCTTTAAAAAGCCACGCCCCTTTTCTCTCCATGAATGGTTTTCACCATCAAATAAAAAGAGCTTGCAATTAATCTGTGAAGAAAGATGAGACAAAATCAGGGGACAATTCTTTTAAAGTGTATATAAAACTGCCAAGTTGGATTCCTGTGGACTTCACATGTGAACGGAGTTTGCTTGATATGTTGTCTTCCTTGTCAAGTGGGGTTTTTCTCAGAGTACTTGAGGTTTTCTCTCTCTGCAATAGACCCCTTGCATGTGACATTAAAGCAGCTCGATCTGGGGGACAAAACAAAAGAATTCCAATCACATGTGAATTGGAACCTATTGTTTTGTCCCCCAGATTGAGATGCATTCCAAAGTGTTGCAAGGGGTCTATATCCAACATGAGTTCTATGCTTAGAATACTAAATGTAGTGGAAGTGCGTGTGGAGTTTGTCATATGTACCATACCGTATTTACTCGTTTAAGTGCCACCCCTGATTAAACTCTGCCCTCAAATAAACACTGCACCTAAGACCATATTTTTATTAAGCGCCACCCCACAATAAGTGCCACTCTTATCTAACTATAACTGAAAAATTTATTGCTCTTTTGTATTTCTTAAACGTTTTATATTAACTATGATCATTGGTTACACATTATGTGTATGGTAAACACATTTTTCTAAAATAAGCTCTGCCCTCGGATAAACGCCTCCCCTGAATTAATACCACATACTGTATGAAACCCAAAAAAGTTAATTAGAGCAAGTAAAATATGGTAATAATTAGCCTTTTGCTAGGGTTTTACTCACTTGCATGACATTTCTTTCTTTCTCTTCACCAGTCACCACCTCTACCTCCTCCAGCTGTGACTTACATGGCGTCATCTTTTGATACACGTTAGCGGCTTCCGCAAGGGTCATGTGCTGCTTGTCTGGGGAATCATGTGGACTGTCTGGCCCTTCTTTATCAGCACATGCTCTAGCTACTTCTGCTAGGGTTTTGGGTTCTCCTTCTGCTTAATGAAATAGAATATATTTTTAATTTACCACATTTATTCACATATACCTTAGAGGTAATGGAAATTAGCTTTTATTCTGAGATGATAAGAATTTTTTTCCCTTGGAAAATGCATCTAGAAAACCTGCTTTGGATCAAGGTAAAGCTACCAATAAGAAAAAAAAAGAAGGAAAAGTTATAGGATATATTTATATATACAGGACTCAGTTATAGTAAAAAATCTGGACCATAAAATAGTGGGAAGTTATCAGATGATCACTATCTTACTGACAACTTAACTTACAGGATGCATGGGTGACATAGTAAAGAGAGCTCATGCCTCTCATCAATAGCACATGGGTTCAAGTTGGACTTGGACTGCTGTGCTTGGTGTTGTATGTGAGTAGAGTTGTTTGTTGTGTTTCAAGGGTTTTTCTCTAAAATCTCCGGCTTTCCTCCCTCCACAAAAATCAACTCCTAAATTCCAATTCGACCATGGAACGATGGCAACAGGTTTGTTAGCCACTGGCTATTAAGTGCTACCCTGGTAAAAACAAGGACATTTCCCCCCTTTATCTGTCACCTTACCAACTACGCATACCTGTGAGTGATTTATTCTCTGTGGTAGATAAGCTTTCATCTTCCTTTTCTGGGCTGCTATCTTTATCTTGACCTCCTGCAGTTAACTAAGAAGAAATAAAATAATTATATATTATAGCAGTTTTCAATAATATGTGAAAGGTTTCCATATTCATGTACTGTCTTATGCACAACCGTTAAACAAAGAAACATACTCTAGGAAATGACACATGGTCTAAAATGGGAAGACATTATCCCATTATATCCATAAGACATGATAATGACAATGAATGATATGACAATGAATGATAATGCCAATGAATGATATGACAATGAATGATAATGACAATGAATGATAATGCCAATGAATGATATGACAATGAATGATAATGACAATGAATGATATGCCAATGAATGATATGACAATGAATGATAATGACAATGAATGATAATGACAATGAATGATATGACAATGAATGATAATGACAATGAATGATA